GGATGTAGAGTCACACAGGGGGGGGGGAGCTGTAGACCGCGCGGTCCGGCAGCCGTTCCGCCTGACGCGTTTTCATTGCTGACTTTCGGAGCCGTGCTCTCGCCTCAGTGCGGGCTGCACTGTTGGTCCAGACCTTAGTGGGCCCTGGAAACGACAGGGCCGTTATTTTACCGGTTCCGTTTTGCCTTTTTTTGCTGGTTCCAACGCCGTTTTTTTACCGGTTCCGTCGCCGTTGTTTGACTGGTTCCGGCTCCGGTTCCAACCCTGGAGCCGTTTTTTTGCCGTTTCCGGTCGCCGTTTTTTCGCCGTTTCCATTTTCAAGGGACATCTTTTTGGAAACGGTGAAACAACGGCCCTGCTGTTTCCGGGGCCCACAGAGGTCCAGACGGCCGCGATCTCAGGTGAAAAATGGCGGCGCATTTGGCCGTGCTTTCACCCAGGGCATTTGGTTGCATCTGTTTTTTTCATCAGGGCTTCCCCGCCATGGCTTCTCCTGCTCCTCGACCCGCCTCGTCCGCCTTGCTGCTACGGGGGTGTCTTGCTGGAGGGATCCTTGGTTGGCAGCCTCAGGGCTCGGCGAGGATTCCCACGGGCCGATTTCAGAGCGTGAATTACCTACCCCGCTTTCGCTTCCAGGCAAAACCAAGTCATACCACGCGCCTCCTCGTCAAGCCGCCTGACCAGTACAGGCCGTGGTTTGGCTTCGCTTGGTATCTCTTGGAAGCGAGGGTGGTCAAAAGCGAGGTAGGTTTGTTTTGCCCCTACGACTGCTGAGAAACAACTCTTCATCCGGTTGCCTGAGCTCCGACGTCGCGAACAAGCTGGAAGGGCCACCACCACACCAAAAAAACACGACCGCAGCCCGAGACCCCAGCTTGCTGCGGCCTGTTTCGTGACGGAGCGATCTGTGCTGGCCCCGGGGCCCGACACCGTGCGAGGATCGCCGCTCGCGAAAGAATCGCCACGCCCGCATCTCACGGCTTCTCGACACGTCGGAGGCACGTGGAGATCGCCCGACGACCGCGACTTCGGAGCCGCCGTCCCTCAGGCGATGTCGCAAGCAGGGCGAAACCGTCCGCCCTACGTTTCAAGATTCTTTGACGTCGATGTACGCCCTACTTTGCCGTCGCTGTTTCCGCCATACCTTTGCGGAAGTACCCGCTTTGCTTTCCTGAGGCGGAAAGATCCGCCGTCATTCTTCGTCTCGTTTGGGGTGCATGTCGTCGAACAATTTAACCACAGCGCGGTGGTCTTAAGCGCAGGGAGCAGGGCCCGTAACCGGGCGAAGACGCACGGTGCGAAAAAATGCAACGTCCGGATCACCGGGAAGCAAGAATCGGGTGTTGCTAGAAGTGCCTTTGACCCAAGGTGCCCCCAGGATTTCCAAGGAGGCCCCCACGGCCTCCAAAGCACCCCTCACGAGGCCCAGAGGGCCCCAGAGGTGACAAACTTAAGCGAACAGCTGGGGGGCACCTTGGGCCAGGGGCCCATGCAGCAACCCCCGAAAGAATGCCGCGACTGAACAAATCCATACCGACGGAGGTCCGGAAAAACGCGCTGCGCCGAGATCTCAGGGGTTCCTGAGACGCCGGAGGCCTGGGGAGAGCCCCATACGACCTGTCTTCGGATCCGCGGTACTTCGGGAAGCCCGCCCCCCCTTCGGCGGGGAGCGAAGGGGGGAAGCGAGAAGGAGAATGCCTTCTCAGAAGGCGGCGGGGCGTCTCAGAAGCGCTCTGGCCTTCTGAGAAGTTTTCTGTGTTTTCGGGGAAGGCTCAGGAAACTGATCAGCAGGCCGGGGAACTTCCGATCCTTCTGAGACCCCCCTGGGCTCGCCACCGACCTTTGTTGTCGTATCGCGCATCGCTTGGGGCGCATGTCCGACAGAATCTTAAGTTGGAAGTCCACCGCAGTGTGGCGGAGCCAAAGGCAGGCCCAGAGCCCCGACGTCATGATTTTTCAGAACGTCGACCCCGAAGGTCTCGACGCTGTCCCTGGCACCAGCTTCTCGTCCCGTCTCTTGACGGCCCCGAGGTCTGGTATACAATGCCGTTACCAACGTTTTGACCATTTCGTCGACGGACCCCCCTCCCCCCGTAGAATCCTACAACATGGCATCCGCCTGTCGCGGAGTAGGTTTCGGATCCCGCCCACACCGTTTCTCCTTAGTATTATAGATTTATCGTGGTGTACAAACTTGCTCCGCACGTTTTTGGACGTGGATTAATTTACTCCGCGTTCTTCTTGAACTTACTCCGCGTTGTGTTTTAGCTGAAGAAAACACACTCCGCGTCCTCCGAAAATTGCTCCGCCTGTGTTTAATGAGGGTGAGCGGCTTCAGATCTGCATGGGCATATGTCCGTCGTTCGGTTTTGCCCGAGGGCGCGCTGGCCGCAGGTCCGGCTTTGGGATTTGCAAGAATGGTCAAAAACTTTAGTAACGGCAGAGTAAGGTCCCCTGGAGACCGAAAATATGGAAAGAAACATCCCGTCCTGATTTTATCATGACTCGACGGGGTCTGGGCACCGCGGATCCGAAGCCATGAGGACGCCCGCCAAAGGCTCCGGCGACGATGACGATGATGACGATGGTGGTGATGATGATGACGATGGTGATGATGTTGATGATGATGACAAGCATGATGATGGTGATGGCGGTGGCGATGGTGATGATGATGATGATGATGATGATGTGATGATGTTGGTGTTAATGTTGATGTTGATGGTGATGTTGACGATGGTGATGATGATGGTGATGATAGTGATCGATGTGGTGATGGTGTTCGTGGTGGTGATAGCAATGGTGATGATAATGGTAATGGTGATGATGATGATGATGATGATGATGATGATGATGATGATTATGTTGATGATGATGATGTTGATGGCGATGTTGATGACACTGATGCTGATGTTGATTATGATGCTGCTGATGATAAGGACGAGGACGAGTTTGGAAATGATGATGATCATGATGATAACGATGACGATGACGATGAGGATGAGGATGATGCTAATAACGATGCTGCTGCTGATGCTGCTGATGATGAGGAGGATAAGGAGGATAAGGATGGGGATAAGGATGAGGATGAGGAGGATGATGTTAAGAATGAGGATGAGGATGAGGATGAGGATGATGATGATGGTGGTGATGATGATGCTGATGATGATGATGCTGATGATGATGATGATGATGATGGGTAGGAGGAGGAGGAGGAGGAGCATGAGGATGATGATGAGGACGGTAAGGGAGAGGATGAGAGTGAGGGTGAGGATGTGGGTGATGATGATGAGGATGAGGATGAGGATGATGAAGGGGACGATGATGATGACACTGATGAGGATGCATGATGATAATGTTGATGATGGTGATGATGATGAGTGTGATGATAAGATGATGGTAAAGATGATGATGATGATCATCATCAGCATCATGATGTTGGTTATGCTTATGATGATGGTGATGGTGATGGTGATGATGAGGATGCTGATGCCGATGATGATGCAGATGATGCTGATGATGACGATGATGATGGTGATGGTGATGATGTGGTTGATGATGATGATGACGATGATGATGCTAATGATGATAATGCTGATGATGATGATGATGATGATGATGCTGATGAAGATGATGCTGATGATGACGATGATTTTGATTCAAAGGTAGACTACCACCAGAGGCCAGAGGTTCCGGCGGCGCATTGCCAGTTGCCGCTGGCGGCGCCCAGCCGGGCCGCGGGCCGCTGCCGGGCGGACCACCGCGGCCGCAGGGCCGCACGCAGCAGGACGCTCGCCGCCCGGCCCGGGCCCCTCGCCAGAGACCCACGGCGAGCCCACGCTCCGCGACTGCAAAGGATATGGTCACGCTGGGATGTGGTTTGGGATCGACACCGTTGGGGGCCTGGGGGGCACGACACTGTCCTCGTCGAGCCTCCTCGGGTCGCGGCGGAGAGCCCTGTCGAGGTCCTCGCCCGCCCCCCAGGGTGCCAGTTGCAAACCACACCCGCTGCAAACCACGCCCTTCAGAGTCGCCGACAGCTGTACGTAAGAGTGGCCCTTCCTCGAGGTGACCTTTGTGCGGCCCAGTGTGGTCCCCCGATCGTTGAGCGCGAAGCGGTAGCGGCGGCTTGCGCGCCTAGGTTTGGCGGCCACCCCGCGTCCCCCGGTTAAGCCGCGCACCAAGATCACTCGCAATTATCCAGGACCACTCTTGCGTGTGGCCGAAGGGGGGAAGTGAGAAGGGGCGTGTCTTAGAAGGCTCGGAAGTCCCCGGGCCCTCTGAGAATTTTTCTAGTGAAGCCTTCCCCAGAGACACAGAACACTTCTCTTAGAAGGCTAGAGGGCCTCTGAGAAGCCCCGTGGCCTTTGAAGACGGCTTCCTCCTCCTCACTTCCCCCCTCGCTCGCCGCCGAAGAGACCCCGTCAGCTGGCGTCTCGAACAAAATTTGGACAAAGGTTTTTCATAGTTTTCGGCCTCTCGTGGCCTGGTGCCTCGGAACAAAAATCGTGACGAAGGTTTTGGTTCATTCATTTCGGCCTCTCGGGGCCGGGTGTCTCGAACAAAAATCGGGACGAAGGTTTTTCATGGTTTTCGGCCTCTCGGGGCCCAGCGTCCCGACAGAGAGGCCGAGGGCGAGGAGAAGGCAGAAGAGGAGCAGGCAGAAGGCAGAAGAGGACGTGGCGGGGAGGAGGAGGGGGAGGAGGAGGAGGAGGAGGAGGAGGAGGAGGAGGAGGGAGGAGGGAGGAGGAGGAGGAGGAGGAGGAGGAGGAGAGAGGAGGAGGAGGGAGGAGGAGGAGGAGGAGGAGGAGGAGGAGGAGGAGGAGGAGGAGAGAGACCCTGACCTCGGATCCGCCGTGCTTCGGGCGATTCCGCTCGGGCGGCAATGGCCGACCTCGGACCCTGCCCGTGCCCCGATCAGACATCCCGGCGCCGGACGTCTGGGGAGCGGCGCGGCGTCCCGGCTCGCCGTCGGTGTGGTTTTGTTCAGCGGGTGCAGCGAGAGAGGGGGGATGGGCTCAGGGGAGGAGGAGGAGGAGGAGGAGGAGGAGGAGGAGGAGGAGGAGGAGGAGGGGGAGGGGGAGGAGGAGGAGGAGGAGGAGGAGAATGAGGTGGGGGGGGATGGGGGAGGAGAGGGACGACGCCGACGACGACCATGACGACGACGACAATGACGACGACGACGACGACGACGACGACGACGCAATCAATGGCCGGAGTGGGTCAACGATGACGGGTCAACGATGACGAGGCGAAGTGCGGGGACGAGTAGGACGAAGAGGAGGAGGAAAATGAGGAGGAGGAGGAAGAGGAGGAGAGAGAGGAGCAGGAGGGGGAGCATGCCCTGGCCACCGGGAAAACATTCGTTGGCGATCTCCCGTCTGTTTCGACACATTATGGCGTCTCGATGATATTTTCGTGAAGGTTCGTGGCCACCTCGGGCCTGTAGGAAACATGTTGGAGGGTGCCTTGGCCCCGACTTCGGCCATCTGGGCCATGTGTAGTGTCTTTCAAAATTGACGCGAGCTTGAGGCAATTTCTAACGTGTTCCTATATAAAGCGAGAGACTGGCCTTGGGAGCGTGTATCCCTCGTTGTGTAAGGGGGAACGCTTCCTAAGGGGCCAGGACCTTTTGCAATTCATTGTGAATCGTTTCCTCGTGAGCGCTGAGGATTCGCGATTGACAAACCAGCGGGAGCAACTTGCCGTGCCGACATTGCCCTTGTCATTGTGGGGCGAACACCAAGAGGTCCCAAAATCCTGTGCGTATCATGCCCACCTTGGGACCGTTCGAACCCTATTTATCAAGGGCAGAAAAAAAAAACGCCCCTACCCTGGTTTTCGAGGCGCTGTGCGCTGAAACTCCTGTGGGCTGACAGGGTAAACCCTGCGTGATGTGCCGCGTCCTGGCGGCTCTAGGCTTTGGGGGGTCCCAGGAGGTTTACAGACCGCTCACTTGTAACCCAGGGTAGGGTCGTTTTTTTTCATCCCTCAAATTTAGGCAATTTTGGAGGGCCCCGACCAAAAGTGGGGCGGCGCCGATGAGGACTGCCCCACTGGAGCCTCTTCGGTCGCTCGTGGGGGCGCTATCGGGCGCTGTTAGTTGGGGGCGTATTATTGGGCACCTTCTGGGCCCCTGGAGGAGGAGGAGGAGGAGGAGGAGGAGGAGGAGGAGGAGGAGGAGGGCGGAGGAGGAAGAGGAGGAGGAGGAGGAGGAGGAGGAGGAGAAGGAGGAGGGCGGAGGAGGAGGGCGGAGGAGGAGGAGGAGGAGGAGGACCTGGGTCTCTTTTGGGCGGCACTGAAACAATCTAGAGGCTTCGGGACCATCGGAAGCGAAAGCTCGAGAAACCAACCGTCACTGAATAGAAGTCGAAGTGTTTGAACGGTGTTGCCTTCAAGGGGTCCTTGGGAGGCTCCGTGGCCTCTTGGAGCCGTCTTGGATTTTGGACGCTCTAGCCCATCGCGCCCCCCCTCCAGATCCAGGAGGTGGTAGGGGGAGGGGTCAAATTCCCAGAGGGGGAGAGGAGAGGTGGTAGGGGCCATATCTGACACCCTATCTCTCCCTTCCATTATTTCATATCGCGCTGATGTGTTCTCTATCCGCGGACGTGTGTCATAGCCGACCTGGAACTCCACAAGAGACTGTACCATATTATGCGCCAAAGGGAAAAGAGAAACTTGTGAGACCTGTGCGACCTGGAGGACCGCTGTGGCCTGTGGGGCTCGTGAGACCTGCGACACCTGTGGGACCTGTGGAAGCTGTAGGACATGTGGGACCTGTGGGAACTGTGGGATTTCTGCGACCTGCGAGACCTGTGGGGCCCGTGGCATCGGCGGGACCTGCGGGACCTGTGGGGCCTGAGGGAACTCGGTGGGACCTGTGAGGCATGCGACACCTCTCGGACCTTTGGGACCTGCGGGGCCTGTCAGAGCTGTTGGATCTGTACGGCATGCGAGACTTGCGACACCTGTGGGACCTGTGGGACCTCTCAGACCCGTGGTGCCTGTGGGACCTGTGGGACCACATGCGGCACTTGTGGGTCCTGTGGGACTTCGGCGGCTTGCGAGACCTGTGGGACCTGCGAGACCTGTGGGATCCAGAAAAGTGGTCCGCGCAGGGGCGGGAACGCCATTCTGAACGACGGGAGCACAGCTCGATCCCAAAATGAGGCCCCCGCTGCAGCGAGAGCACAATTTTTGAACAACTGTAAGCAATCGGATTGTCAAACAAGTCTGGGAAGCGAGTTCGATCAAATCCTGCGTTTAAAAATAGGACGCGGAGGGGGGACGAACACTCTCAGGACATTCGGGGGTGAGAGGAGAATAGCACTCACATGGCGTAGTTGTAGACCCGCTCGCAGAAGCCAGGTGCGCCACGCGTGCCAGGTTCGGCACGCACCTCGGGTGCGCCAGGTGTCCTAGGGGCCCACGCGTGCCAGGCGCGCTTAGTTTGCCAGATGCATCACTTCCGCCGCGTGCGTCAGGTGCGCGACGGGGGCAGAGTGCCCCCGGTGCGCCAGGTGCGCCAGCGCGCGTGACAGCACACGTCGGGCAAGATGCGTTGTGTTTTGATCGGTGTATAGCGTGTGGACATGCAAGATGATCGCCGGCGGCCAGTCGAGTGGGGGAAGGAGTGTTTATCAATAGTAAGTAGTGGCGAGCCCCTCCCCAAACGGAAAGAGGGGGGTTGGGTGACAGGGCGCACTCATCCACACTCTCGACAGAATGAGCGGCGCCCCCGCTTCCACTCCCAGCCCCGCGCGCGGCCGCCCTCAAAGGCTCGCTTCGCCCCTCCTCCTGCCCCCCGCCCACTCCCTTCCGAGGTCCCCTCCCGATCCTCCGGTCCGGGCCTGCGATCGGCGCTCCGGCGGGCGCCGAGGTCCGTGCAACGCGCGCTGCGCCCAAGTCTGGGTAAGGCCAGCGCCACCCGGCGCTTGCTCCGCTCGCACGCCGGGGGCCCGCCGTATTGAGCCCGCAGAGCAAGAGAGGCCCCCCTTCGGGAAACTAGGCCGCAGAACTCGTGGGGCCGTCGGAGGGGGGGTGGAGGAGGAGGAGGAGGAGCAGGAGGAGGAGGAGGGGGAGGAGGAGGAACGAGGAGGAAGAGGAGAAGGAGGAGGAGGAAGAGGAGGAGGAGCAGGAGGCGGAGGAGACGGAGGAGACGGAGGAGGAGGAGGAGGTCGAGGAAGAGGAATCAGAGGATGAAGAAGAGGAAGAAGAAGAGGAATACTAATAATTATAGTAACCGCTTAATACGTTACAAGAGTCGTAATGTTTGCATTGGTATTAAAAGTGCGCAACGAAATTGTAATGGCAATACCCAGATAACACAAAAAACAGTAGTACCCATAAGAATAGCAATAATAAGAAGAATAATAATAATATGAGAAGGCATATGAATGCGAATATGTAACCCTACGAATACAGTCACGAATGATCATATTCGGAGAGCGAATAGTAATCATACCAGTAATACTAGTAGTTGGGAAACGTTCGATACTAGTTGTAGCAGTCTTAGTAAGACCGTCGATACTACCACTACGAATACGAATAATAATCGTAGTAATGAACATAGTACTAACACCAATACGAATAAACACAACACTAATAACGATACCGATGGTACTTAAAAAGTAATAGTGAGAATATGAGCACTAGTAATGGTAATAGGACTGTGCATGATAAGTAGACCGATAATAGTAACAAGCAGAAGAAAACATTCAGGAGAGGAGGAGGAGGAGGAAGAGGAACAACAGCAAGAGCAGGAAGAACAGCACGAGGAACCGCAGGAGGAGGAGGCGGAGGAGGACGAGGAGCAGGAGGATGTGAAAGATGTATGAGAGGAAGGGGAGAGAGAACGAGAAGGAGGAGAAGGAGGTCTGTTGGTGGTTCATCAGCACGGCAGACCCGCACGGCAAACCAGACCAACGCGTCAGACCTGACCAGCATGGTGTAATTGGTTTGCCGTGCTGGTCGCACACCAAACATGGTTTGCCGCGCTGGCTGAGGAGTTTTTTGTTCGGCAGCCCCCGGAGGCGTCGTGGGCGTACTTGGGGCCTTTGGGCGACCTGTTCGGGGCCTCGCGGGGGGGCCTCTTCGGGGCTGTTTGGGGTCTCTTGGACCCAACTGATCACCAAGGACGATGCCCCGTGTTAGTCCTACGCTGGATTTTTGGTGGCATGGGACGTCTGGGCCCTCTCGGGGGCCCTCTTAAGCCAGTTTTTGGGGCGTCTTGGGGTCCTTGGGAGTTGGGTTTCTTCGGGGCCCCGTCCAGAGCCCCGACCTGGCAGCTGCTCAGCGCAGAAAGGCGGATGTGATGCCAATAAACAATAGGTCGGGCGTGTCCCCCGACAGGGTGATCTTGCAGGAAAACGGCAAATTATTACAAGCATGCTCCAACATAGTCAAAAACACGTGTTCCAAAAATCGTCTCCAACCTATTGTTTACGTTTCCTCTTGTAGAGGGACGTGCCCGACTTAAACCAAGCAAGTCAAAACGTATTCCCATGGGAATGGGACGGCTTTGGCCCCTTGGGGATCACTTGGGTGTCCCCTTGAAGCCCTCGTTGGGCGTCTTTGGGGCCTCATGTGTTGTGTCGGGGCCAAGGAACGGTCTTTGGCCGTCGTGGAGGCATCTTGGAATGTCGTGCAGACCTCTTGGGACCGTCTGGGGGCGCGGGAATGCCACGGGCACCAAGGTCCCGTCCTCCCCGAGCGCCGACTGGATGAGTTAGGGGAAGACCCCCTTGGGTCTAGACGGGGCGGCCCGCGAGGTGCTAGAGTTTCTTTTTTTGTCGAAAACAGATCAGAGACGGCCCAGGGAAGTTCGAGACTGTATCCAATAGGGTTCAAGGTAGCGCAAGCTCGCCCCGGATGGTTTCCAACATGTTCGAAGGGGCCCCGAGGCCGCTCCAAACTGGGCCCAAGTAGCAACGGAGCCCCTCAAGGATGCCCCCAAGAGGCCCTAATCCTTTCCACAACCTCAGGAACAGATGTGTATCTTGCC